ACTTAAACTTTGTTATTGTATTTTTTAAATGAGCGATCGTTTCGCTTGATAAGACCCTTATTCATCGTCTGGAATCGTTTAAAGCCCTTTCAACAGTTTACAGTTTGCACTGAAACTCTCATTTGGTCCTTGAACCGTTTGGTTCCCATTGAAGTCCATTATATGGAGAAAAATGCTGGAATGTTTTCATCAAAAACCTTAATTTCTTTTCGACTGAAGAAAGAACGACATGGACATCTTGGATGACATGGGGGTGAGTAAATTATCAGCAAAAGTTTTTTTTAAAGTGAACTACTCCTTTAAGCACTGGGTAATATTCATTAACTACATGCACTTATTATAGGGTTAGGGTAGGATTTGGTTGAGGGTTAGTTGCATGTAATTGTCCTTTTATTAAGAAACATTGATGTAACACTTAACGTCTTGTTTCTACCAGGTGAGAGGCCTTACAAGTGTCAGACATGCGAGCGCACCTTCACCCTCAAGCACAGTTTGGTCCGACATCAGCGTATCCACCAGAAGCTACGTGGAGTGGATAGTGATGGTTCGACCTGTGGGGCCGCAGGTGGACCCGACGAGGAGGGCTTCAGCGGGCGATCGGCTAGCGAAGGCGAGTGCACACCCACCAGCACCAATCCACCCTCCGAGAACGAAAGTGAAATAACAGACACTGTTAAGGGGGAACCAACCTCGATGGATAAAGAGGACCGTGTACCCGCTGTGGAAACTGAAGAGTTGAAACTAACTTCCGAGACGGGACCAGAAACGCCCAAAGAACCTTCAGCAGAGGAACAAGCATCCGATTCATCTGACGTGGAGCCGTCGGGGGGGTTCATCCAAGGTTTACTGGAGATCCACACCAATCCCACTACTGAGCACATGTTGCCCACCTCTGAACCGCCACTGCTTGGGGTGAAGTGAGGAGCGACTCTTTCTTGCGTTGTGCTGCAACAAGAAGCAGTGCCATAGATAACAAAAGGACATTGCAGTGAAAAAGCGATGACTGTTTCCAAGTGCCTTTCTACTTTTTTTGCTATATCTTTATCGGCATTTATCATGATCTAAAGTTGATTTTTATAGTATTTTACAATGATCGTTGTGTTTTTTTTTTTTGGTGGAATCCTGAGAGAACTACATTAAGCAATATATGAACAAATTTGCATATCGTTTCGTATGAAAAGCAGGTTTATAGCCTATTCAGCGTAGGCTGAGACTAACGAGAGAAGATATTTCTACTGAGAGGCTCGCACCCAAGTGCATAACTGGAATACGCAAACTCGAAACTTCTTCGTGGCTTTTTGTCCTCCCTTTATTTCCCAATTTGTGTAAATCCTTTAATGACAATGGCTTCCAGAGTAATTGTTTGCTCTGTTGTTCTGGGTGCTGTGTCACATAGAGATTGTTTTTTGGGGGGGGAACAGCCCAAGGGTCATACTTGGAAAGGTGTTTAACAGCTATGACGTGAACTATATGGGCAATGTTTGCCCGAAAATAAGTGATGTATGTCCAGCTATGCTGATTGTGTCAAATGTCCTTGTTTTTTTGGCACAAAGGGTTTATAATGAGGGAAGGCATGTTTTTAACTTAAAGGGATAGTTCACTTTGAAATTAGTTTTTGATATGTTTTATCTTACCTCAAGGGCATCCAAGATGTAGGTGTCTTTGTTTCCGCAGTATTTTCACTTTTGATATTTTTAGGTCAAACCGTTCTCTATCAGTCATATAATGGAGGTCTATGGTCACCACCTCAAAGAGCATGCACAGAGAAGTCCAAATAAAACATGATTTAATGACTCGTGAATGTAAGTACACATTGATGGCCTAAGGCAAGAAACGAGCGGTTTGTGTGAGAAAATTAACAGTATTTATATCGCTTTTACCTCTTGTAACCACAGCCACGTCTAACTGATCTGAGGGCTGAGGCGGATCACCGGAAGTGATATCACTGTGAAGATCTAAACATATTTAGATATACAGGAAATCGCAATGGAAGACGATTTTGATATATATCAACAGACAACGGTGAATTTTTTTCCGCAAACGCAAGAGATCACTTCCGGCACTTTCCAGCGCTTGCGAAGACCGAAGCGTCCGCGGCCTCAGTGGCTGTGGTTACAAAAGTTAAAAACGATATAAATACGCTTCGTTTTCTCACACAAACCGCTCGTTTCGTGTCTTAGGCCATCAATGTGTACTTACATTCACGAGTCATTGAATAATGTTTAATTTGGACTTCTCTGTGCATGCTCTTTGAGGTGGTGACCATAGACCTCCATTATATGACTGACAGAGAACGGTTTGACCTAAAAATATCAAAATTGAAAATACTGTGGAAACAAAGACACCTACATCTTGGATGCCCTTGAGGTAAGATAAAACATACCAAAAATTAATTTATTTCAAAGTGAACTATCCCTTTAAGGGCTCATGAATTACTGTCCCTCAATCTCACACGCAAAAAACAATACAGGAAGCCCATGAGTGATGTACTTGACAAAAATGATGAAATGTGGTGGCCCGTCTTCCAAAAACATCACTTTTTAGCCTTACTCTTTCTTCTGAGCTTCGGGCTCATGGTGTACTTGAACCCTGTCGCCCTGCTGCCTCCTGTCGGGACGTGCCTCAACTAGGAGGACCCCATGTCAATCAATCACGCGTTCTTTTGTAGTGTTGGATCTCTTTGACCTCTCAGTTTTATGAACTCGTGTTGTAAAAAAAACCTCAGACACAAACAAAGCAAACCTCAAAGGGCATGAAGACTGTTTGAAACCGCGTGGACTGGTGAGCATCTTCAAATATAGGTCTTCTGATCTCCTCTGAAAAGGAATATTGAACCAATTGTGGCAATGGAGAGAGAATTCGCCGGTTGTGTGCGCCCCCTAGTGGTGAAGATCCAGCATCTCGACTTGTAGTATTGGATGAACTTGCAATCGCTTTCTCAATCTGTGTATTCCGGGGACTTCTGCTTCTCCCGATGCCTTTTCCTGGGTTCACGCGAGTGTGTTTTGTGTTGGTTTTCTGGTAAGAGTGCTCACAGACTGTTTTTAAAGTATTTATTATGACCCAGTGCAGGTGAAGAAGTAAATGCGGAGAAGCCATGTATTAACACGATTATGCTGCATTAAAAAAAATGATTCAAATTCAATACTTAGCATCCCAGCTTCGATCTGGGTTCTTGATGATAAAAATCACTTTTGATCTGAAAGCTTTATGTAGACATTTGTATGCATTTTTATTTTTTAGAATGTGTGGTCTGTTTCTGTTATCTTTATTATATGATGATGATGATGATGATTTCAGTTTGACAGAGAGATACAAGTTGTTTTCATTGATATATTCTTTTAAGTGTAAAACTGTGAAATTTCCTGTTATGGGTGAATCTGTAGGGTAGTTTTGCATGATAACCTTTTATGTTGAGTTATAAATGTGTTTTTTTTTTTCTCTCTTTTCGCCCCACCCGCCGCCTCGCTCTGTCTCACTCTCAGGGTTCGTACAAAAGGTTTTCTCAAATCGTCATTTTCCTTCCTAAATTGTTCTTCGCCTATGATTTCTAAATATATTAAATCGTCAATCACTACTTTTTTAGCACTTGACTGTGAATTCAAATCAACAGGGTGGAGATATCAAATCCACATTCCACTCTTAGGTTTTCTACGAGATATGTTCACGTTTCCCCCTGTTTTTCTTTCTTTTCTTGTTTTAATCCTCCCTGTCTCTTTGGATTATGGAGACCTGTCACTGTTTGACGTGTTGTCGGACGTAAAAGGGAGTTTCGTGTCGCTGCTACATCCCCAAAAATAATTCAACTGGACTTGAATGGAACCAGAATCACCAGAACATTTTTTGGTACACTACTCTTGTTCTTTGAATGAGTGCTTCAGAATCAGAAATGTAAGCTGTTCTGTATCAAAATTATTCAAGCAATAAAGATATATTAATGAAAAGGTGTGGATGGTGGTTTTTTTTTAACAAGGGTCTTATCATTTAATATATAAATAACAAAGTTTAAGTTTTATAAGCTCAAATGCTCGCCTTGCTCTGTTCTGTGATGCGCATTCGTGACTCCTGTTCGAAACTCGTTCATCAAAATGAACGAATCTTTTTTCGAGTCATGACTCGAAGGGTCCTTGATAAGACCCTTATTCATCGTCTGGAATCGTTTAAAGCCCCAAGTGAAACTCTCACTTGGACCTTGAACCGTTTGGACCCCATTGAAGTCCATTATATGGAGAAAATCCTGGAATGTTTTCATCAAACACCTTAATTTCTTTTCGACTGAAGAAAGAAAGACGTGGACATCTTGGATGACATGGGGGTGAGTAAATTATCAGCAAAAGTGTTTTTTTTTTTTAAAGTGAATTACTCCTTTAATTTGGACTTCTCTGTGCATGCTCTTTGAGGTGGTGACCATAGACCTCCATTATATGACTGACAGACAAGAACGGTTTGACCTAAAAATATCAAAATTGAAAATACTGCGGAAACAAGGACACCTACATCTTGAATACCCTTGAGGTAAGATAAAACATACCAAAAATTCATTTCAAAGTGAATTATGAAAAATAAAAATTAGCCCATGATTTACTCGCCATGAAGCTATGCTAGGTGTATATGACATTCTTCTTTCAGATGAATACAATGGCTCTTCCAAGCTTTATAATGGCAGTGAATGGGTTTTTGGATGTCCATCAAAGTGCATCAATCCCTGATTAGACCTTGAACCGTTTGGACCCCATTGAAGTCCATTATATGGAGAAAAATGCTGGAATGTTTTCATCAAAAACCTTAATTTCTTTTCGACTGAAGAAAGAAAGACATGGACATCTTGGATGACATGGGGGTGAGTAAATTATCAGCAAAAGTTTTTTTTTAAAAGTCAACTACTCCTATTAATAAAGATCTCTAACCAAACCTGACCATAGGACGACCGTTAGTGTTTAGGGTGCCATTTAGGACAGGGCCAGCGAAACAGTAAGAACAATTAAACATTAAACTCAAAAAACATTTGAATTCATTCATTTAATTTACATCTATTATGAGATGTCCGGTATAAAAGAAACAAATTATCACAAAACTTTGGTGATCAAAGTAATACATTATAATATTAATGCAATGATTGGCGGTTGTATACTTACAGATCGTGAATCTGCAGACTTTACATTTTCAACACTCACTTTTGAGGAAAAAAATCTGTGGAATGGATTTAAAAACGGTAAAATGTATTAAATACAGCTTTGAGTTAAAATATTTAACTGATGAATATATAAAGGTCAAGAAATGTGTAGAATGACGAGCACAGATTCTGTAACAGGAACGTGACATTGAAGTTTCCGTACTATATTAGGCTTGATCAATTCTCCTATAATAGAGTTTAGCTCAGATGAAACACCTTTAATAATGGTCTAAAGATTACTTTAGAGAGAACTCAAGAAGGACCTTTAGGAGAAGAATCGAAGAACCCTCTACAATATCAACGTCCTTTTTGCATGTTCATTCAACAAGATTTATAAGTTCCTCTCTTTTGAAGCTCTACTCACAGCAGATGCCAAATGTCTCTCCAGTATAAATGTGGCGAGGATCTCCTTTTTGGCAAAAGTTCATATACATCAAAAGTTTAAAAAGGTCATTTTTTGAGGTGTCCAGAATGTATAAAGTTCTCCAGACTGGATGGTTGTCATCAGGATCACTGATCAGGACTGATTTCCATGTGAATGTAATCATCTCCACAGGTGTTGTGTGGTTCCCTGCTCACATTGGACTCACATTGGTGTAGATGATCTTGATCAAAGTTTTTAGTCTCGCTCAATACCACCTTTCTACTGAAGAGGATTCGAGTCTTCACGGCTTCTGGAGTAAGTGTTGAATACGATTATTTTTCTTAAAAATGACATTTTTGGCATCAGGTTACTAGCAGTCCTTAATAAATGCTTCAGATACTTCAATGTGCTCTGATGTTCTTCATGGTGAGAAACCCTGGTTTCCATCCACATCATTCATTTTTAAAAGTCTCAGGTGATACTGGACTGGTAGGAGCTGAAGAGACCGTGATAGCCTTCACGTCATCCATTATAGCAAAGCAGTTTTCTTCAGATTTCACTCGACATTCTGCAAAAACACCGATGTGGTTACATTGCAGGAAGACATAATCATTTCTGCCCCCTTAAAAGTCGCCTATAGACCTCTAATATGGCTTATAATTTGAACTTTACATGGCTACTCATTCAAACATTAACCTAGATAAATGTGCACTATTATAAGGCTCATATCCAAGTATTTGAATGTAAAGAATAGCACACAGGACACATTCCTAATATCAGCGGAAACAACTTTTGCTGATAATTTACTCACCCCCATGTCATCCAAGATGTCCATGTCTTTCTTTCTTCAGTTGAAAAGAAATTAAGGTTTTTGATGAAAACATTCCAGGATTTTCTCCATAAAATGGACTTCAATGGGGTCCAAACGGTTCAAGGTTTAAATGAGAGTTTCAGTGCAAACCGTTCAAAGGGCTTTAAACGATTCCAGATGATGAATAAGGGTCTTATCAAGCGGAACGATCAGCCATTTCAAAAATAAATAAAAAGGTTTAAGTTTTATAAGCTCAAATGCTCGCCTTGCTCTGTTCTGCGATGCACGTTCGTGACTCTCCTGTTCGAACTCGTTCATCAAAATGAACCGACCGATCGTTTCGCTTGATAAGACCCTTATTCATCGTCTGGTGTCGTTTAAAGCCCTTTGAAGCTGCACTGAAGCTCTCATTTGGACCTTGAACCATTTGGTTCCCATTGAAGTCCATTATATGGAGAAAAATGCTGGAATGTGTTCATCAAAAATATTAATTTCTTTTCGACTGAAGAAAGAAAGACATGGACATCTTGGATGACATGGGGGTGAGTAAATTATCAGCAAAAGTTTTTTGTTTTTTTTAAAGTGACATTCTTTTAACAACAGCCACAAACTGTTGTGCCTTCAGATTAGTTGGACGTGGCTGTGGCTACAAGAGGTAAAAACAATAAAAATACTGTTCGTTTTCTCACACAAACCGCTCGTTTTGTGTTTTAGGCCATCAATGCGTACTTACATTTACGAGTCATTAAATCATGTTTAATTTGGACTTCTCTGTGCATACTCTTTAAGGTGGTGACCATAGACCTCCATTATATGACTGACAGACAAGAACGGTTTGACCTAAAAATATCAAAATTGAAAATACTGCGGAAACAAAGACACCTACATCTTGGATGCCTTTGAGGTAATTATAATGCATAGACGTGTGCGACCAATCGCTACATTCTCCATCTATGAGAAATACACTGTTATCATAACCTAAGCCATACTTACCGTATTCATCAGCAGACTCTGGTTCTTTCTTAACGTCTACAGTTGCGTCAGACGTGCCGACGCCAACAGTGACCTTCACCACCTCCTTTGTAGCAGGCACATCCTTCCCCTCTGGAAAACAGACAGAAAACAGAAAGTCACACCGGTTCTAGACATCACGAAGGTGAGCTAATAAATGACAGATTTCCGGATCAACTCTCCCGTACCCGCGTGCATTACTCGCAGGTGTTTCTTCATGGATGATGAATGAGCGAAGAATTTGAGGCATATGGGGCACTGGTACGGCTTCTCGCCCGTGTGACTGCGCAGATGTACGGATAAATGCGCGAACTGTCGGTAGCTCTTCTTGCACTGAGGACACTGGTACGGCTTCTCCCCGGTGTGAACCCTCTGATGAACCACCAGATCTTTGGCCTGGCCGAAACTCTTCCCACACTCAGGGCACTCGAATTTGGGTTTGTTCTCCTTGGAGTGAGTCCGCAGGTGGACCTTCAGGTGTCCCGCCTGACCGAAGACCTTCTCGCACTGAGGGCACTCGTGCTTTTCCTCGGTGTGTGTGCGTCGGTGCAAGACCAGACTGCTGGGATGACTGAAGCTGCGCTCACACTGCGAGCACTGGAAGAGCTCGCCGCCCCGGTCGTAGTGGTGCCGGCGCTGATGACGCGCGAGGTCCGAGAGTTTGACGAATCCTCTCCCGCACTCGGAGCATTTGTGCGGTCGCTCTCCTTCGTGAACATAGCGCACGTGTTTCCTGAGGCCGGCCGCTTGAGTGAACGTCTTCAGACACAAGCTGCATGTGTGCGACACCCCTGGAATTACAATATACAACGTTAATAATAACATTATGTATTAACGTTTTAATTTAAAGGATTAGTTCACTTTTGAAAAAAACTTTTGCTGATAATTTACTCACCCCCATGTCATCCAAGATGTCCATGTCTTTCTTTCTTCAGTCGAAAAGAAATGAAGGTTTTTGATGAAAACATTCCAGGATTTTTCTCCATATAATGGACTTCAATGGGAACCAAACGGTTCAAGGTCCAAAAGACAGTCTCAGTACAAACTGCAAACTGTTCAAAGGGCTTTAAACGATTCCAGATGATGAATAAGGGTCTTATCAAGCGAAACGGTCGCTCATTTAATAAATAAATAACAAAGTTTAAGTTTTATAAGCTCAAACGCTCGCTTTGCTCTGTTCTGTGACGCACTCTTGTTTGAACTCGTTCATCAAAATGAACAAATCTTTTTCCGATTCATTTGGTTCATTCGGCGAAAGAAACGAACAAATTGATTCGGAAAAAGATTTGTTCATTTTGTTGAACGAGTTCGAACAGGAGAGTCACGAACGTGCATCACAGAACAGAGCAAGGCGAGCATTTGAGCTTATAAAACTTAAACTTTGTTATTTATTTATTAAATGAGCGATCGTTTCGCTTGATAAGACCCTTATTTATCGTCTGGAATCGTTTAAAGCCCTTTGAACAGTTTGCAGTTTCGACTGAAAGTTTCTTTTGGACTTTGAACCGTTTGGTTCCCATTGAAGTCCATTATATGGAGAAAAATCCTGTAATGTTTTCATTAAAAACCTTAATTTCTCTTCGACTGAAGAAAGAAAGACTTTTTTGAAAAGTGAACTAATCCTTTAAAGGGTCATGAAACCCCCCCAAACCAAATTTTCGGAGATTTTAACAGAGGTTTGTCTGTTGAACACCATTGGAGATGATGTTAGCATCTGTTACAGTAGATTTAATAATATCTCAAAATATCTTCTTTTTAGTTTGACATAAGAAAGAAACTCAAGCAACATAAAGGTGCGTTCACACCATATGCGAATAGCGCGTCAGGCGCGAGTGATTTCAATGTTAAGTCAATGCAAAGATGCGTTACATGCGTAAAAAATTCCTACGGCGCGGTACACGTGAATACGTCTCATTCGCGCGAATTAAGCGTCTGGCGCGTTAAAAACATTACGCGTGAATGATTTAGTTAGTGCCATTTGTGCATTCACGCGTTTGACGCGAATTCACGTCTGCCGCCCGAGTTGAAAAATCCGAACTTTGCCGTCAATTCGCACCACGTTAACCAATCAGGAGCCTAGCTGCTTGCTCACGTGATGAAGGATCTGGATGCTTCAATTAATTATTTTGTAATATGACTAAATGCATGGTGGGATTATGCACAACAAAGCAAATATTTTATCACTTAAAACTTTATTTCTATATACGAGACATGTTCATTTTGTATTGAATGTTATTTATTCCATATCTAGATTATATGAAATAGTATTATGATGTAAAGACAACCAACATACATGTGCATAAGTTCGTGTCTGGACGACGGCGACGATGATCCCCACGCCGCTGTTCTGCTCTCCAGAGTAAATACAGAGCGGTGACTCTCTCGATGAATGCTCGATCGACATAAAAAATGGCCGCCAACGGATTTCGATTCGTAAATTTCGCTTCAAGCTTTTGTTTTTACATGCGTCAGTTTCACTCTTTTTTTTTTTTTTTTTTTTTTTTTTTTTAGCAAGAACTTTATTGAAAAACCATAAATTGCCTGGTACATATTCGATTAGTTTGCGGACTCAGAAAGCTTGCCACAAAGAACCGGCAAAAGTAACGAATGTGTCAAATTCAGTTTCACTCTTGAGTTAACACAAAGTGGTTAGGCGCGAATTTGACGCGCTATTCGCGTCCGGTGTGAACGCACAGTAAGTGTGAGTAAATGATAACAGAATTGTAATTTCTGGGTGAACTATCCCTTTAAGTCACCAAAACAAATGTACGAAGAACGAGTGGGTTATTCATGGTGCTTCTATTATCCTTCCATCGTCTTACCTGTGTGAAACTCATCTTGGTGTTTTTTGAGACTAGCGTCCGAGATGAATGTCTGATCACACATGTAGCACTGGAGAGGGTTCTGGCCCGGGTGTCCGCTCTGGTGGGCGATCAGGTTTCTCCTCCAGCGAAAGCTCAGGCCACACTCAGAGCACTTGTACGGTCTCTCTCCTGTGTGAATCCGCTGGTGAATCTTCAACATATAATGCTGACTGAACCTTTTCCCACAGTGAGAGCATTCGAACGGCTTCTCCTGCAAGTCCGCGTTTGGACCGCCTGTTGGTTTCTCCGTTCCACTTTGATTCTTTGTGGAAGCTTCGGGAAAACAAAATCCGTAAAAAATGCATTTTTAATCATCCAAAATAAACATATAAAGAAATGAGTGCTGCGGGGAAACGATTAAACACATCCAAAATAAAAGTTTGTGTTTACATACTATATGTGTGTACTATGTATAATTATTTTGTATAAATATACACACACATGCAAAATTAGTTATTTATATATAATATATTTATATTCATGTGTTGCTTGGCAACCCCTTTGGAACTACATTACTTGGCGGAGGAATAAATGTGTCAACGTTATATTTTTTGTTGCTGGTGTTTATTTTATGAAGAAATGAATGTTTTTATGCTGTAGCCGTTTTATAAAAGCAACAAGCCCCTTGAAGCCGTGTTTTACAGTGACTTTAGAACAGCTAAGGGGTTTTTTGTACTAAGTTCACTGTAAAACACGGCTTTCCAGGGCTAATTGCTTTAATGATATAAATTATATATACAGTTTATACTTGCATATATTTCTTAAATATATACATGCATGTGTGTGTATTAATAGATACAAAATAATTATATACAGTACACACACATTTATTATGTAAACACAAACTTTTGGATGCGATTAATCATTACCCTGCACTAAAAGAAAGATTACATTCTTGAGGACTCGCATTTCTGAGAAATGTCAAACTTACTTTCATGAATTCGCATGTGAGCTCTGAGGAAGCTGGGCCGCCCGAAGCCCTTGTGGCATACAGGGCAGTTGTGTGGCCGCACTCCTGTGTGAACTTCCAGATGTTTCTTCAAGTCTCCAGGGGTATAAAAGCTCTTACTGCACACAAAGCACAGGAACGACCTCTCTCCTGTGTGAGTTTTAATATGCACAACCAAAGCCGATCGCTGACGGAAGCTCTTGTTACATGTGGGACAGTTGAAGGGCCGTTCACCCGTGTGAATGCGCTCATGCTGTAACAAGCCTTGGCGTCGCCCAAACTTCCTCCCGCAGTAAGAGCAGGGGAAGCACTTGCCCTCGATGTCAGCATGCTGATCTGTTCAAATGACAAAGAAGAATGCATATTATCAAACCACTATAAAACTCGCAGCTTTTGCGTCAACTCTGTTATCATCAGCACTCACCCCTGTTACAGTACTGTAGTATTATAGAAAACAACTCTGCAAAACTAATTTATCCTTTCAGGAAGTGAACTCTCCAAGGACAAGTATCTGTGCCTATTTTGTCATCAAATACTTAAAATGTCAACCCTGTTACCAGGATATTTTATCGTAAACAAATAATTAAAAAAAAATTCAAAGTTGTAGAAATACAATTAATTATTATTATTTTTTTAAATAAACACTTTTAGTGCCAAAGAAATAAGAAATTAATTCTTAGTGTCAAAATTTTAGTGCCTAAGAAATGTCTGTCAATCCTATTACCATCAGCTCAACCCTGTTACAGCACTGTAGTATTATAGAAAACAATTCTTCAAAACTAATTTATCATTTCAGAAGTGATCCTCAAAGGACAAGTATCTGTGCCTATTTTGTCATCAAATAATTAAAATGTCAACCCTATTACCAGGATATTTTATCGTAAACAAATACTTTTTTGAAAAATGAAAAGTTGTAGAAATACAATTAATTATTATTATTATTATTATTATTTTAAATAAACAGTTTTAGTGCCAAAGAAATAAGAAATGAATTCTTAGTGTCAAAATTTTAGTGCCTAAGAAATGTCTGTCAATCCTATTACCATCAGCTCACCCCTGTTACAGTACTGTAGTATTATAGAAAACAATTCTGCAAAACTAATTTATCGTTTCAGGAAGTGATCCTCCAAGGACAAGTATTTTGTCAGCAAATAATTAAAATGTCAACGCTGTTACCAGGATAATTTATCGTAAACAAATGATTTTTGAAAAATGCACAGTTGTAGAAATATTGATATTTTTAATATTTTTTTTAAATAAACACTTTTAGTGCCAAAGTTAAGAAATGTCTGTCAGTCCTATTACCATCAGGAAGTAAACTCTCCAAAGAAAAATATTCTTCATCAATTATTAAAAAGTCAACCCTGCTACCAGGATTTTGTATAGTAAACGAATGATTTTTTGAAAAGTGGATATTCTTAGAAATATTGTGAACAAACACTTTTAGTGCCAAGACTATGAAATGGATGTCAACCCTATTATTATAATCACTCACCCCATTACAATTTTGTAGTATTATAAAATTGCAAAACTGCTTTTTCTTTTCATGAAGTGACCTCTCTAAGGACTCTCTAATATCTGTGCCTATTTTGTCATCAAATAATTAAAATGTCAACCCTGTTACCAGGATATTTTATCGTAAACAAATGATTTTTGAAAAATGCACAGTTGTAGAAATATATATATATTTTAATAAAAAAACACTTTTAGTGCCAAAGTTAATAAATGTCTGTCAGTCCTATTATTATAATCACTCACCCCTGTTACAATACCGTAGTATTATAGAGAACAATTCTGCAAAAGTACTTTATCGTTTCAGGAAGTGATCCTGTGTATCTGTGCCTATTTTGTCATCAAATAATTAAAGTATCAACCCTGTTACCAGGATATTTTATCGTAAACAAATGATTTTTTTAAAAATGCACAGTTGTAGAAATTTATATTTTTATATATCATTTTTTTAAATAAACACTTTTAGTGCCAAAGCTAATTAATGTAATTAATCAATCCTCTTACCATCACCCCTGTTACAATACCGTATTATTCAGAAAACATTTCTCCAAATCTACTTTATACTTTCAGGAAGTAAACTCTCCAAAGAAAAATATTTTTAGTCAAATATTAAAAAGTCAACCCTGCTACCAGGATTTTTTTATAGTCAACAAATGATTTTTGAAAAGTGGATATTCTTAGAAATATTGTGAACAAACACTTTTAGTGCCAAGACTATGAAATGGATGTCAACCCTGTTATTATAATCACTCACCCCATTACAATATTGTAGTATTATTTTAAAAAAAAAAAACTTCAGCAAAACTGCTTTATCTTTACCTAAGTGAACTCTTCAAGGACAAGTATCTTCTGTGCCTATTTTGTCACCGAATAATTAAAATTTCAACCCTGTTACCAGGATATAGTTTAAACATATGTAAAGTAAACAAATGATTTTTGAAAAATGCATAGTTGTAGAAATATCATTAAATATTTTTTTTTAAATATATACTTTTTGCCAGTCCTATTAGCATCATCACTCCCCCCTGTTACAATACTGTAGTATTATAGAAAACAATTTCTCATTAAATTCAACCAAGTTAACGGGAATTATTGAGTGGATATTTGTGTAAATATCAGCATTGAATTTCACATCAGGTTATATAAGTTCATTTGCAGTTACTGAGGCGGACCAATACAATCTATATCTGGCAGCTATAGTGTCCTGTGTCCTGGCAGGTCCTCCTACCTGGATGAAATATAAGCTGATGTCTTTTCAGGGAAATTGCGAGCGAGAAGGTTTTGTTGCATATGGCACAATGATAAAGCTTCTGATGATCTGTCAGCTCTGAACTGGAGCTCTGATCAGCATCATGACCTTCATTCACTGATGGACCGAGTCCCGTCTCCGTCTCTAATAGATGATGATGATGATGATCCCCTGCGCTCATTTCTGTAAAACATGTTCAGACACGTCACTATGCATATTAAGACAAATATGTTACTACATAAACTGGCCATAAAAAAACAACTTTAATACTTTACAATAAGGTTAATTTATTAATCAGTAGTTAATGTATTAATACATTTAATAAAGCATTAGCAAATGCTGTATGAGTGCATCTCATTATTAGTTAATGTTAACTTATTGTAAAGTGTTCCCAAAACAACTAGAGAGCATACCGTCCACAGAAGCTCCAGGGCTTCCAGAAAGCATTGCTGAAATCTGTGATGAAACCGAAACCCCACAGACATCTCCCACGTCACCCTGTTCCCCCTCTTTAGGAGTAAGCTCATCCGCTTGGTTGATCAGAACATCCCGTTCCTGCAACTTGTTCAGATGGGACTGCATGTGTGCTTGCAGGCTACTGGGCCGAGGGAAGCTTTTGGAGCACAGAGGACAACTGTGGGGTCTCACGCCGGTGTGAGTCCCCATATGAGTCTTCAGGTCCCCTGAACCATAAAAGCGTCTGAAGCATATGAAACATTCGAAAGGCTTTTCTCCAGTGTGGATTTTCCTGTGCACGATCAACACCGAACGCTGCCTGAAACTCTTATTGCACACGGTGCATCGGAACGGTCTCTCGCCGGTGTGAATGCGTTTGTGTTGCTCCATGTCTTGATGTCGTCCAAATATTTTCCCACAGTACGGACAGGTGAAGCGCTTCCTTTCAGCAACACTCAAACGTTCTTTTGAAAGAAAGAAATCAACAGGATTTTCAATGATAAACGGCAAACCCAACAACATTGTATTGAGCAACGCTATTGGTTATTTAACTCAGGAGACCGAGGCCACTAAGAGGGCCTAAAGATGACTTAAAAGATGACTTAAAGCATTAAAATAAGCTAAAACAAGTAAAAAAATGCAAGACTGTCTGCTTTATAGACATTGTTTTTTCTTGGAAAACCTGGATATATGAGGTAGCCTGATTTTAAAAGTGTGTTAAGCCATGCAAATTATTAAAACATGAAAACGGCATTGGCGTGTTTATAATTAATATACTTTTTTTCCTCGTTACGCCAAGCTGTAAAATGTTTTGTCAAGTAGAAATTAAGAAACACTGTGCTAGAGGGTCCTCAAAAATGTTTTAAATGGTGTAAAAAAAATAATAACAGTAGGTTTTATAATCAGAAATGTGTTTACTCTAGAAACAGATAAAAAAAAGCACCAAAAAATATAAACCTTAGAAACTTAATAGAAAGTAAATATGTTATAGTCTGATTTTAAAAGTGTGTTTTTTAGACCTGGTTAAGCCATGCAAATTATTAAAATATGAAAATATGGCATTGCCGTTTTTATAATGAATATACATTTTTCTGGTTATGCCAAACTCTAAAATATTTTGTCAAGTAGAAGTTAAGAACCACGGTGCTAGAGGGTCCTCAAAAATGTTTTAAAAAATTAAAACTATTAAAAATAATAACAATAGGTTTTATAATCAGAAATTTATTTACTCTAAAACAGATCAAAAAGCACCAAAAATATATAAACCTTAGAAACTTAATAGAAAGTAAATATTTTTATAGATATATTTTTCACAACTGTACACTCTAAAAAAAGGCTGGGTTGTTTCCAATCATGTTTGGGTCAAATATGGAAAAATCCAACCGTTGGGTTAAAAATGTGGTTAAAACAATGGTTGGGTTTGTCCATATTTGACCCAAACATAGGTGGAAACAACCCAGCATTCATTAGAGTGTATCTTTCTTTATACATGAAAATGCTGCATTTCAGGAATGAGGAATCTTGCAGAGATCATCATATTTGGAGGACTGTGGCATTAAAAAGTTTGAAAACCCCTGATTACAGAGATACTCCACCGTTTTTTCATATTAAACTATGTTATTCCCTTAAAGAAGTATTTCACTTTTAAAAAAACTTTTGCTGATAATTTACTCACCCCCATGTCATCCAAGATGTCCATGTCTTTCTTTCTTCAGTCGAAAAGAAATTAAGGTGTTTGATGAAAACATTCCAGGATTTTCTCCATATAATGGACTTCAATGGGAACCAAATTGTTCAAGGTCCAAAAGACAGTTTCAGTGCAAACTGTTCAAAGGGCTTTAAACGATTCCAGACGATGAATAAGGGTCTTATCAAGTGAAACGATCGCTCGTTTTATAAATAAATAACAAAGTTTAAGTATTATAAGCTCAAATGCTCGCCTTGCTCTGTTCTGTGATGTTCGTTCGTGACTCTCCTGTTCGAACTCGTTCATCAAAATGAACGAATCTTTTTTCGAATCATGACTCGAAGGGTCTGGAATCGTTTAAAGCCCTTTGAACAGTTTGCGCTGAAACTGTGTTTTGGACCTTGAACCGTTTGGTTCCCATTGAAGTCCATTATATTTTCGACTGAAGAAAGAAAGACGTGGACATCTTGGATGACATGGGGGTGAGTAAATTATCAGCAAAAGTTTTTTTTAAAGTGAACTACTCAGTAACTTCCGAAAAAGGAGATGGTGCCATACTAAAACCTCACAGGACGCGTTTCTCCTCAGTTTTAGTGCTCAGGGTGATTCTCACCTGGATGAGCGACTCGCTGATGCTTTATCAGGGAGAAGGAGAGAGAAAACCTCCTGTCACAGAGCGTGCACTGGTACGGCCGCTCCTCTGTGTGATGGGTACGGTGGTGTTTTTTAAGGTTTACTGCTTGGCTGAAATATTTCCCACACTGGGAGCACTGGTACGGCCGTTCTCCGGTGTGAACCCGCAGATGGATTCGAAGCTTTGCTTGCTTATGAAACCTCTTTCCACAGTGATTGCACTGGTGCGGCTTGTCTTCGTCGTGAAGTTGCTGGTGAGCAGTAAACTCTTCCTCTTGAAGACGGTTAATGGCTCCAACGCCTAGAAGAGCAAAAGACGCAATGTTAAAAGCAGATATGTGGAGTGGGATTTTGGACCAATGAGATTTCAAGGTGGATTATGCTATTGTATTTTGGTAGAAACCCAAAGAGCTTACTACTATCCAACCTAAGTAGTATGTGAGAGTAGAATAATGGTGTCCTAAAGTGTTAATAGTCCACGGATGGTCTATTATTTCTGGTAGATTTTCGAAGTATGGATCCATGCTCATGCTAATGGTGCATTGTATTATTCATCCGAATCGGACGACAGACGTTGCCTAGCAACACGCCCCCTTTCCTCGGATTTCTACTCTCGGACGTCGGACAACCGGAATTCAAGATGGCTGCGCCCTGTGACTTGTAAGAATGAATTGTTTTCATTGTTTTTGAACCGCTTTGGTATTTTAAATGACAATCATAATCACTCGTATTACTGCGTCCCCTGTAGGTATGGGAATCGGTTGTTGTGAGCGCAATTACTAACGTTGCTAGCGTTGCTAACAGAAGATTAACATGAAAAACATTAAATAATGTGAACATTTTAAAATTCAAATGGCTGCGTTTTGATAAGGTGTAGTCTAATATATTTTTTATTTTTAATTAATTTTTTTATTTTTAATTAATTTTTTTAGAATTTTATTTTTAATTAATTGTAATATATTTTTTTGTAATGTTAGTGCATGTTACTCGGCCAATGCTACCATTATAACAGCTTTCCGGGTGGCGTCCATTTTTTTCTCCGACTCGGACACGCAAAACATAATAGAACGCTTGAAGTGTGGACGTGACGTCAAATCCGAGGTCCGAGTCGGTTCGTTGGGTATAATAGAACGCACGATGACATTGCCTACGACCCATTTGGATGAGGATTCGGTTTAGAACTACAAACATGAATAAAAAGAACTACAAATGTACATTGGGTCCGAAGGGTTAAGTAGAGATGCCCTGAAAGCGGTTTTATAATAATAAATGGTAACACTTTACTTGAAGGGGTGTGCATAAGACTGGCATGACACCTTCATAATCATGACACACGTCATGAATTTCATATTGGGGTTTATGCATGTTTAGGCCAACTGTCATTAAGTGTAATTAGCTCAATTATGAAATGTTTAATGTAAATATGACATTGTTTGAGATGTCTTTGTTATGACACCTTGACATAAACCAATACATCATAACCTGTCAGTGTCTTTGTCATGACAACTTGAAGACAACACAACCTGTCATAAACATGACATAGCAGATTAATTATGAAACTTAAGAAAGCACCTAGCTTTATTGGTTAACATTACATTAAACTGTCATGTGGTTGGTTTTGACATTGGCTGTCGTGAAGCCATTATAACATTTTAATGACAAATTCAATTAGTTCCACTGTAGTTGAGGTCACGAAAAATATTCATGACACAGTTATAATGGCCTCATGACAGCCAATGTCAAAGCCAACCACATGACAGTTTAATTTAATGTTAACCAATAAAAATAGAAATAGAAACTCCAACAAATGCATTTACAACAAGATCAGCCGCTAAAATAACCCTGCCCACGCCTTTTCAGTGGTTTAGTTTGTTTGCACTGAATCAAGCTGATAGTAAATCTGGCCCTTGGTATAAAGTGGGTAAATTGGGATGCATGGAAAGGTTTCTGTTAGACATATACTTCATAGACTCACCCTTTAGAGCAGAATCCCGAGAGAGCTCGGATGACGGAGATGGAGACCTCTCACACACTTTCTGTTGACCTCGGGCATCGTGTTCATTAGACGCTTCGCTCTCAATACTGTCCACAAGGTCCAGAGAGTGTGATTCAATATTGTCCTTAAGAGCGTCGGTTTTGTGCAGATCTTCAGAGTCCACAGAACCGCAAGGCCTCTCGTCTGAATGGCTCATGTCGTCTGATTCGGAGAAGGTCTGATGGGGAGATCGTGTGAAGCTGTTGACACAGTCCGGGCAGCGGTGGGATATCTCTCCGGTGGGTGTTAGCTCATGTTCCTCAAGCTGACAGGCAAAGTTTTTCCCACATTCAACACAAATCAAGCACTTACCCTCCGTACTTACATCTTGACCTGCAAAAAGAGACGATACTGGTCAAAATCTCTATTATACACAATGAATGTATAATATAATGACTGTTAACACTAAGAAAGGTTTAATGAAGTGAATTCAATCTAAATTAAGCACTGATTTCTGTGTTTATATTTGGATTATGCAACTAGACTAAATTGTAATCAAATCTGACTGGATGGCCCCACAGAAGTTTTAGTTTAAAAAAACAAACAAACAAACAAAACATTTTTAAGTCCCCCTGTGGTGAAAATCATTTTTTTAAATGTTTTTTATACATGTACATGGTGTTTTTAATGTGTTTTTAAGACAAACCATGTGTAAATTCATACTTTAAGTCGACAGTCTCAAAAACACGCTTTGAAATCGCTGGTGTTGCTGACGTCACAAACGACCTTGTAACCAATCAGATCAACGTGTGATCGTCAACCAGTGGATCTCTGAGCTGAGTGAGTGAGTGGAGGCGGGGCTCATTTGCATATTATAAGAACCACGTATAGTAAATGAGGCAAGGGTGTCGAGTTACATTCAAGAAAAAAACTTTTAAATATGTTAATTTGGTGATTGATCAAAGATGAGTTTTAAGGGATAAAATTATTGACTACAGGAGTCTTTAAGTAATAGTAGTCATGTATCCACCTATTTTTGTGCAAAAATTTTATGAAAAACGCTGTATGGAAATTACGGAGGCGTATTGCATTCACTTCTCACTTACAAAAAAAATCTACTCTGTTTTTAAAGTTAATTATCTCAGAATTACGAAATAATTTTTCATGGAAAAAAGTTTTTGCTCTGTTTTTCTGAATTAACGAGTTTATTTTTTATGAGAAAAAAAGTTTTTTTCTCATGAAAAATATGATGAGAAATGTTTTTCTAAATTAACTCGTTAATTCAGGGAAACAGAGCAAAAAAAAAAATTCCATGAAAAATTAAAAAAGAAGTTTTTGCTCTGTTTTTCTGAATTAACGAGTTAATTTAGAAAAACAGAGCAAAAAAAAAATTCCATGAAAAATTAACTCATTAATTCAGAAAAACAGAGCAAAAACTTCCTTTCTCATGAAAAATTAACTCGTTAATTCAGAAAAACAGAGCAAAAAAAATTTCCATGAAAAGTTAACTCGTTAATTCAGAAAAACAGAGCAAAAACTTTTTTTCTCATGAAAAATTAACTCGTTAATTCAGAAAAACACAGCAAAAAATTTTTTCTCATGAAAAATTAACTCATTAATTCAGAAAAACAAAGCAAAAACTTCCTTTCTCATGAAAAATTAACTCGTTAATTCAGAAAAACAGAGCAAAAAAAATTTTTCTCATGAAAAATTAACTCGTTAATTCAGAAAAACAGAGCAAAAAAAAATTCCATGAAAAGTTAACTCGTTAATTCAGAAAAACAGAGCAAAAACTTTTTTTCTCATGAAAAATTAACTCGTTAATTCAGAAAAACACAGCAAAAAAAAATTTTCTCATGAAAAATTAACTCATTAATTCAGAAAAACAAAGCAAAAACTTCCTTTCTCATGAAAAATTAACTCGTTAATTCAGAAAAACAGAGCAAAAACTTTTTTTCTCATGAAAAATTAACTCGTTAATTCAGAAAAACACAGCAAAAAAATTTCTCGTGAAAAATTAACTCGTTAATTCAGAAAAACAGAGCAAAATTTTCCTTTCTCATGAAAAATTAACTCGTTAATTCAGAAAAAACAGAGCAAAAATTTTTTTCCATGAAAAATGATCTTGTAATTCTGAGATAATTAACTTGTTAATTCAGAAAAAACAGAGCAGATTTTTTTTGTTCTTCAAGTGAATGCAATACGCCTCCGTAGGAAATGGCGAGATGCACATATTTTCAAAAAATGTGCATAAAAACTTGCACATAAGCTGACATGGAAACACATGTACCAATTAAATCCCTCGATGCGCAGCAAAAAAGTCATGTAACTCCACAGATTTGGCGCATAAGTTAACATAGTTGTTGTTATGTATATCTCCACAGGTTTTAGCAGTCCACTTTATTTTGGGCTTAACAACACCTTGAAACTATGGAGAAAAATCATAAAATCTGACGTCTCATGCTGTACCTTGATGAAATGCACGCAGATGTCTTCTCAAGGAGGACAACAGGGCGAAGTTTTTCACACAGATGGTACAGTGGAAGGCCTTCGCATCCGTGTGGACGATCTGGTGAGTCTTGAGGTCTCTCTCCCGGGTGAAGGTCTTCCCGCACACCAAGCACTCAAAAGGCCTCTCTCCGGTGTGAATCCGCACATGTTCGGACAGATGCTGGATGCGGGAAAACCCCTTCCCGCACTGAGAGCACTGAAACGGCCTCGCTCTGGCAGAAACACTCTTGGCGTGCTCGTCTGTGGTGACATTTGTAAAGGAAAATGATTGTGTTATGTTGTCTCTCTCAACAAATACATGCATCTCTATTCAATATATTTGACAGGTAAACAATAAGAGTGTTTCTGAAAGCTGCAAGATACTCAGGGCTTTCCTTTCCTAAATAATATATACACCGCCCAGACAAAAAAAAGTCGCCGTTTGGATGTAAATAGACAAAACATTGATAGATATAGAGTCTATATTGGATCAGTGATTATGTTTCTAGCATGTTATACGTTTGGTAGCAGTTCTGCTAATCATAATTGATGGAGCGTGTAGCATTTCATTTCTTAAGCAATCGTGTAGGAATCATCATGGCCATATTCTAGGATGAAAATGTTGACCAGTAATGTATGCACCTCTTGATGGAAATGAATATTGTGATGTTATTTCCATCCAGAGGTGCATCAATTTTTGGTGAAGATCTTGTATTGAGATTGAGATTAATGCAAGAGTCCAGCTCTCTGTAAAGTCTGAAGTGGATTCATGTGTGGAAATGATTCTTAATGCTTTCACAGTTTGAGCCTGATGAATCTTCTTGACATTGTCATCCTGGAATATGGCCATTCGTCTTCCTAAATGTTTAAGAAAAGCAACACACTCCATCAGTTAGGCGTACTGTATAAACCTGAAGAGAGACCTAAAATATAACAAAGTAACTGTTATAACCTCATGATAACAGACAGGTCTTTAGAAAACAGAATGAAACAGTAATGAAAGAATAAATATTTGAATAAATTAATGTTATATTAATTTGGTTTTATGCATTTATTTGCACAGTTTTTCATTGACCCAGCACTCCTTTAAGACGCACGGAAAAATGAAAATCAAAGTCAGGGCAATTTAGGCTTTTCACAAACTGTGATTATCATATGGTGGTGAATGAATGCATTATGCCTAATGTATAATGTAAACTCGTGCATTCTCACCCAGGTCAAACGCAGCACCTGGTGTGTGTTCTTCAGTGCTACAGCCAGCTGATGGAAACACACACACCTCATCTGGGTCACCGTAGGACTTCATGCTCAGGTCCATGGCTTACTGGCGAAAACCTAGAGGAGAACGACATTTTAATATCAAAACAGTTATTATTTTATTGATTATGTTATTATTCAGTTATTATGTTATTATTATTATCATTTTTTTTTAGGAAAATGCACTAGAGTGTTACTCGTGTACAGTGATAACATTGCAAAAAATTACTACAATATTCATGTGCAATGGTGTTTGCGTGGGTACTGCAAAATACTATAGCCTACTATAACACCATGGTATTACCATGATAGGCAATTTGTCTAAATAGATGGTAATACCCTGAATAATGTATTATATATTCTGAAATTATTGTTTTGTATTATATAATGTATGTCTTGATGTCTATATGAGAACAAAAATCAAAGCTGGAGACAGAACAAACCTCCGTTAGTTGCTACATGTCAGCACACAGTTAAAGGCGCATTATCTGTCATTCAGGAAGATGAAAGAGAAAAATAAACATTAGTTGCGTCACAACACAGAAACACAAATGTGGAGTTCATGCAGAAGAAGCCTCACCTTTTCTGTGTCCCATCACACAATTGTCATGCACGTCCACGGACTGACAACCGGAAACTACTGGAGGTTACAGTCTTTTCAAAATAAAAGTCAATCGCAAAAAAAGCTTGACCGAATATATCATGTAAATATTTGTGTTTTGTCCATTTTAATCTTGCAACAAACATTCAACTTGTCTAAAAATGTACTTGGACACCAACATAAACATTGTTTATATGTTATTACATCTTATAACATTTTTTTTTCAAACAAGCAGCATATTTAAAGATAAGTTGACAATGATGTAGTCGTACAGTACAGTTCACAATGATGATAAAAAATATGGTGACACTTTATGGATGTTAAACGTTTGTGTAATAATATGTTTATATATTATAGCCTATATATGTTTTGGGGGCACCACTTTCTTTTTGAGTAAATAAATGCTATTACTATACAAATTTATTTTGACACATATTTTGCTGACATCCTGACTGTGTCTACTTAACATTAGGAACTTGATGTAATATCAGAAAGATATATAAGTCGAGGACTCGAGATATGAGAAATATGCATTGCATAAATGAAAAGATTATCATTGTGGAGATGTTGGTCCAGGTGCCCAGCCATCAGCAGCTTGATATCCAGACATTGGTCTGTCACCTTTACTAAACGCAACAGTGCAATATCGTTAGGTTATTTGCATAACCTAGTACATTTCTGAAAACTGGGCGAGATTTAACAGACTCGGCAAGAATGAAAGATAACCTTTAAAGGAATACTTCACCTCTGGAAAAAAATGTGTATTTAAAATGGGTCATTTATGTAGGCCTAGAAGAAATTTGAAATTATTTTTGAATTTGGAGCTTTCTAGACAAAGCCAAAAAAATTATTTGTGGCTTATGTGGATGAAAGACAACAACTCCCAGAATGCACTTGCTTCGCTGCCCTAGGCCACGCCTACCGGTAACAGAGCAGTAGTTAAACAACAAGTCCAGCTACAAGTGAGTCTCCGTGATGTGTCTCCCTGAAAATGTGTTTCGAGATCGCCCAAAATGTCCGGGATTGGGCTTTTGCGTTCTAAAGTCGCCATTCGTTTACTGTGAATCTTTTATTGTTTGCTTTGAACCCAGGGGCTGAAGTGCTTTGTGAAAATATACTTGAGAACGTGTGCTTGTACGGTTTTCTGCATTCAAACTTATGGTATTGCTGTCGGCAATCCACGGAACAGTGTGTGTGAGGTGGAGCTGAACTGCACAAATCTTTCGGCCAAACTCCATCCTCCAACTTGGGAGAGGACATCACAGAAAACCCTTAGTGCTGTCCGTCCCTCCCATGCAGAGACTGTGTGTTCTAGATATCCCTTTTCAGTGTGTTAGAATGGTTAATGGACCTCGGCCTAGCTGCCGCCACGAATGACTGCTTTCATGGCTTAACGTTCACAGCAACCATCTTCTCTGCTCGCTGGGGTTTTGGTGTCCTGGACACGATCAAAAACCTCCTATTCTGCGTTGCCGCAGGGGAAATTAGGTTTTATTTCCAAAATTTGTGAGGAGGAGTATGTTCAAATGTTCCTCAGCAGTTTTTTTTCTGCATTTCTCTGCCACCCCGACTCCTCACTCTCGGCTGTTTCCCATGCAGGAATACAGAGACTATTTTGGGATCGGGCCACATTCCGACCCCTGGACAGTTTGGCAAATATGCATACTCTTTTACTCTTTATCTGATTATTTGTAAGTGTAAACTTGTGAACAGGAGGATGTGGCGTTCTTTTGCACTCTCAGAAAAATAAAGGTACAAAAGTTGTCAATGGGGCTTTTCAAAAGGTACACTTTTGTACCCAAAGGATGCATATTGGTACCTTTTAGCACCTTATTGGTACCTTTAGTGGTATATTTTAGCACCTAAAATGTACATATTAGTATCTAAAATGTACATATTAGCTCCTGAAATGTACACATTAACACTTAAAATGTTCATATTAGGACCTAAAATGTACATATTAGGACCTAAAAAGTACATGTTAGGACCTAAAATGGACATATTAGCACCTAAAATGTACATATTAGGACCTAAAATGGACATATTAGCTCCTGAAATGTACATGTTAACAACTGAAATGTACTTATTAGCACCTAAAATGTACATATTAACACCTTGTACTTATTAGCACCTAAAATGGACAATTAACACCTAAAATGTACTTATTAGCACCTACAATGGACAATTAACACCTAAAATGTACTTATTAGCACCTAAAATGGACAATTAACACCTAAAATGTACGTATTAGCACCTAAAATGGACAATTAACACCTAAAATGTACTTATTAGCACCTAAAATATACATATTAGCACCTAAAATTTACTTATTAGCACCTAAAATGTACTTATTAGCACCTAAAATGTACATATTAGCACCTAAAATGTACTGCATTAATACCTAAAATTGTACATATTAGCACCTAAAATAGACAAAAGTTTACCTTTTGAAAAGGTACAGCCCCAGTGACAGCTTTTGTACCTTTTTTCTGAGAGTGTATGATGCAGACAGATGTCAAACGCCTCACCTTTCTTTCTTTGAAGGTTGCGTCTTATTGCCGCACAACTGGGCCGACCAACTCTTTTGAGTCCCTGGGAGAAAGTTTCCAATACTTGAGAGCGATACTTGAGAGACTAATTCAGAGTGACCTCTCACCCTCAACGGCGAGAGCCAAAATATGGCCGCACGACCACGCAAGGTGCGTAGATTGAGGCCTGTTATATTATAAATTTCCCTCCTGAGTGCCTCGGCTTGATCAACAATGAAGTAAATATCCTGTTTATCTAACACAGTCTCATCCCAAGAAGTCATATAACTGTCGTCTTTTGACCATATGTCAACATCCGCCTTTTTAGGGTACCCTTAAACGTCGGTTACATGACGATCCCGGGCCGTCATACAACTGACGCTTTACCTTTAACGTCGGTTAGGTGACGGGGTAGGTTTAGGTCTGGGGTAGGGTTAGGATCCGATAACGTCATCTAACCGATGTTTAAGGGTACCCTAAAAAGGCGGATGTTGACGTATGGTCAAAAGACGTCCCAAGATGTCAGTCTTATGACGTCTTGGGATGAGACTGCGCTCGTTTAGGGAAGCATCCCGACGCTCACAGAAACAAGCCATAATAAACCCTCACAAGGACAGGGACACAAGTCGGGTCCCATGATAAGAGGGGCTGGAACGCCTGAACCAGGCTCGTTCTTATAACATAGTCATAGGACAACTTGTGCTTATGGACAGTAATCATAGACTGACACTTGAGCCTGCAGGCAAGGAACCTCCATGTTATAGAACCTAACAAATGTGGACAGCGAGGACCACCCGGCCGCCGCACATATGTCTTGAATTGGCACACCACTGGACCATGCCCACGAAGAGGCCATGCCATTTTTAGAGTGGGCTCTAGCGCCTATGGTACAAACCTGGCCCACCGAGTCGTATGCCAGAGAGATGGCTCCTACTATCCATCTAGACCAGGGATGGGCAACTCCTGTCCTCGAGGGCCACTGTCATGCCGAGTTTAGCTCCAATGCTAATTAAGCACACCTGAACAAGCTAATTCATGTTTTCAGGATTACTAAAAACTCATTTTTGTCAGGGTTGGAGCTAAACTTTGCAGGACAGGACAGTGGCCCTCGAAGACCGGAGTTGCCCATCCCTGATCTAGACAGTCTCTGCTTCATGATTGGTAACCCCTTGGTGCGCAAAGCATAAAGAGCTTTTGCCTAAATGGTGCAGAACGCTCCAGGTAGATTTTTTGAGTTCTTACAGAACAAAGCATATTAGCCTCTCTGAGGGTGGAAGCGCTGACAATGTAATAACCTGTGCTCTGAATGGAGTTGAGAGCGTAACCATGCCTTGGCTTGAGAATGACCCTGGAGTCACTAACCCCATATTCCAAACAGGAAGGGCTCACAGAGAGCACCTGCACATCTCCCACTCGCTTGACCAGCAGCAGAGCAGTTTTTAGCGAAAATGATCATGTGGTTTAAGATAAACCGACTGCAGGACTCAAACAGAGGACCTTTCAGGGCCATAAGGACCATGGAGAGGTCCCAAGCCGATATAGAAGGGGGCCTGGGGGGATTCATCCTCCTGACTGGCCAGCCACAGGAGTATGGTAAGCTGCCATGGCTGCCACATACACTTTGAGCATGGATGGGGAGAGACGCGCATCCAGAAGCTCTTGTAGGAAGGAGGGTACCACTGACACATCGTATGACTGGGGCTCGAGGACCCTTGCTGTGCACCACCTAGTGAATACTGACCACTTTAGGCCATAGAGGCGCCTGGTAGATGGTGCTCTAGCGTTAAGGCCAATTTATACTTCTGCGTCGAGGGTACGCCGTAGTGTACGGCGTTGGCTTCGCACGTAGGCGATGCCGTTGTGAGCATTTATACTTCTGCGTTCAGGTCTTGGTTGCTCAGCAGTACTGCTCCGAAACGCTAGTAGGCGGCGGAGGGTTTTAATGTTCCACTGTGTTTAGATTCCTCGCGGCTAGGTTACTACAAGCAGTAGCGACTGAAAGAGAGTGGATCATGTTGGAGTTGGAGCTTATTGGGGTGGAAAAACAGTTCATTTTAGTGAAATTACTAAAACTGAAAGGCAGAAATAAGAGAAGACGTCGGAGGAGACGGTACGTGTGGAAATGCGTGAGAAGGTACGTGTGGAAATGCGTAGGAGGAAATGTGATGCTACCAGGCCGACCAATCACCGATCTTGCGGTCCGCGTCGTCGCGACGTGTAGTTACATTTTTGAAGAGGTGCGCGTCAGGCAACGACGAAGGGTACGCGGTTTGGGACGCGTCTGTGCGTATGCTACGCCGTACCTACTGCGCGCACCCTACGCAGAAGTATAAATTGGCCTTTAGTGATCGTATTCAGGACCTTTTCTGGGAGGTCCCAGGATACCCGTCGAGGGGCCACACAAGGAGGGCCCATAAGTCGGGGCGAGGGTGCCAAATCGAAATATGGCATAATATTGCATAGGGCTTTTGTAGTCATTTAATCCATTGATTTATGGTTTCTTGGGTAAGACACTTGG